ATATATATATATATATGATTGCTTTTTTTTGAAAGTGAAAAATACATTGATTAAAGAGGAAGGAAAAGGGGGACCAGAGAGATGACTCAGCAGTTAAGAGCAATGATTGCTCTTGAAGAGGAGTGAGGTTCAGTTCTCAGCACTCACGTGGAGGCTAACAATTGTTGGTAACGCCAATTCCAGGGGATCTGATGCCCTATTCTGACTTTTGTGGGCACTATACACACATGGTGCACTATTAATACATGCAGCAAAACATTCATACACATAAAATAAAAATAAAAAATAAAAGAGGAAAGGAAAAATTGTATGGTGATAGAATATATGCAAATTAATTGAAATTTAATATAAAGAGATCACATTTGTTACAAATTATGTTACACTGTTTTCATCTTATGCAGATGTTTTGACTGTAATTTGTAGGTTATTTGTGTCTTTTTACCACTTTCTCAATTCCAGTCATTTTGTATTTAAAATTTTTTCACTTAATTTCATGTGTATGAGTGTTATGTCTGCATGATGTAAGTGCACCCATGTCATGCAGTGCCTGCAGAGGGCAGAAGAGAGCGTCAGATCCCCTGAAACTGGAGTTACAGTCAGTTGTTAGCTTTCATTTGGGTGCTGGGATTTGAACCCATGTCTTTTGCAAGAGCAGCCAGTGCTCTTAATTGCTGATCCATCTCTCCAGTCATTTTGAATTTGTTTTCTTTTTCCCAGTAGTAGTTCATTCATATCTCCAATATTTTGCATTTATTAAAACTTCTGAGTCTTTGTAATCTTTTTACAAACAAATTATTAGTAATGTACACAGGTTTAGAAATGGATTTATATAATACGTTTAAAACAATAAGTATACAAATTGTTTTATGTAGTATGTTTGGTACAAAATGATGATCTATGCTCAGTAACACAGTACACATTTTAAGCTTAATTTTGGAACGATTAAATAAACACTCAGACATGAGCTGACCTGTTAGTGTCAACATTGGTAAAAAGACTCACAGCTTTCACATGATGATTAAAAGCTGAAGCTTTCCTTGGCCAGAAGAGCGTGTGAAAATCACACCCATCTAAACATGGGAGACAAGCAAAGGAACGATGAGGCAAGCACTGAAAGACCAAAGGCTGGGTAGCACCACGTGATTACAAGTTATAAGGAAAGGAGAGGGTCAACATCTCTTGAGTATTCTATCCTCTGAAAATTTTTAAAGTAGCAATAGAAACATCAGCACCACAGACTAGTACTGACTCCTAATTCCATTTATTAACAGACATGGAATTTAGGTCTTTTAGTTTTTAAAAGAATTTCAGTTAGTTTTCCCTTTTCGCTTTTTTGGTGCCTGATATATTTTTATGTATTCTGCATTTCATGTTAATGACTAATAGTTATTAGAGAACATTTCTACCCACAATTCATATCTGTAGCCATAGTTCCAAAGCACTAACTCCAGAAGACAATTTGTGCTCTGGCAAAAGGAAAACATCACATGCTGAAGTTAATGAACTGATAAGGAGCTCCTATTGTGAAACATTCTGAGTATAGCTCAGCAGAAAACATTGCTTTTCAATGTAGAAATACCGAGTTCAATGGAAAATTTGGAGCTGAAATGAAGCATACCTAAAGCAGAATGTCGCTCACTTAGAGATTCCTCATCAGCTGTCATTGGAGGTAAATGCCTATTGCTGGGCAAATTATTTTTATCTCTAGTTTGTATATGTAGAAAAGGAGACTTCCAGAAAGCATTATGCTCTCAGGTGAAAAAAGTCATTATCAAAATGAGATGCCAACAGCACTATTTGCAAGCAGGGTTCTGATGGGTGTTAGTTAATTGAGACCTTGTGTCTTGCTTGAAGACATCTCTGAAAAGGCCATGGGTTGGCATTTCTCCACAATTCATTTCACTAGAACCACTGGAAAACTTCACATCTTAATCATAGCAAGCTCAACATGTACCATCCCCTACATCTGTTCTGTGTCATTGTTCAGTCGTATTTATTTGTTCATTAAAAAAATTCCAAATTATAACTGGAAATAGCATAAAACTCATCAAAAATCTCTTCATATAGTGACAAATGCAGTTGACATTTACTTAGTAGTGAACACCTTTCCAGGCATGCATGTATTCATTTCTCTTTGCAATTTTATATAAATATGGCCATATTCTGTTTGCTATTGAGTACCTTGATTATTTTTCATTGAAAAGTGTGTAATCGAGACATTTCATCTCAATGAATTTAAAATCATGTTACAGCTTTTCATGATCACATATTTTATCATTTGATTTAGTTAACTCCTTATCAAAGAATACACGGGCTATTGTCAAATTATTTTGTTTTAAATAGTGCTGTGGGGCTGGAGAGATGGTTAGCTAAGCAGTTAAGAGCACTGGCTGCTCTTGTAGAGGTCCTGGGTTTGATTCTCAGTACCCACTGAGGGTTGACAAATGTCTGTCCCTCCAGTTCCAGGGGAATCTGACCAGCCTCTTCTGATCTTTGAGGGCATTGCACAACACTGGTGCACTTACATACATGCAGGCAATATGCTCATACACATGAAATAAAAATAATAAGATATTAAAAATAGTGCTGTGATCAAATCATTATGTATGTATGTATGTATGGTACGCTGGGTACTTGGGCAGTGGTCTCCACAGATAAGTCCTTGGAAGGGTTACTAGATCACATTTGAAATTTTTTAATTGAATTGAAAAACCTTATTATCATGTATTAATTTTAAAAAGGAATTTCATTTGACATTTCCATACGTTTATGTTTTAACCATATTCACTCCTTCTGTTACATTGTGTGTATGTTCACATGTGTCTTTGTGTGTGCATCTGGAGCCCAGGAGTCAATGTCAAGTATCTTCCACATTCTCTCTCTACCTTATTTTTAAAAATGCTTCTTATTTATCTTTTTTACATTTCATACAACAGTTCTTAATCAAGTTAAGACCTCCCTCTCCCATCCATGCTCCCCCTGACATGCAACATTTGAAATTTTGATTCACAAAGGTAAATTGCTCTTCAGAGAAATTGTGTCATATGTCTTTCTACATTTTTTCTTTAAAAAATAATATGGAAAACTTTTTATTTAAAATTTTTTATTTGTTCATTTTTTATTTATTTATTTATTTATTTATTCATTCATTCATTCATTCATTCATTTTTGAGCCAGGGTTTTCCTGAAGCCCCAACTGGCC